ACTTGAGCTTACAATTAGGTTTACAGTACAGTTATTTACAGTTATGTACAGTTGATATTTTAATATATATATATAATTAAAACAAACAAAAAACAATAGTCTATTTATTGAAATATATTACTGAATACTTAATTTATCAATCAATTAATAATTTTTGGTTTTGTTTAATGTTTTGTCAAATCAATCAAATAAAATAAAGGTTTATGAAACAAAAAATAATTATTAATTGCAAAAATTATTTATATATTTTTTTTATTAAATCTTTTCATTAATCATTAGATTTCATCAATCAGTTAATTGTATGAATGTATATATTTAAAACAAATTATATATATATCAATAAAATAAATACTTATCTTTAAATTGTATTTTTTACTAAATTATATTCACAAAAAAATCATTTGTATGATATAAATGCGGAATTATTTTTAAATAGTTTTTGTTATTGAAAAAATGCAATTAAATTAATAATGATATTATTATTATTTTTTGACAAACAAAATACTAACAAAATAACTATAAGATAAATAGTATAAATAATAGAATTTAATTAAATGATAGAAATATCTTTAAATTTTTTGCATAAAAAAATCTATTTTTAAAACGTCGTATAAATAGAAATAAAATACTATATTAACTTAAATCAAAATAGTATTTAATTGGCAATTTTTATTTATATATATATTGATATTTTATTAAATTAGTTGTCAATCAAAATGATATAATTTATTTGGATTTGCGACACTTATCACATTTTAAAAATTTATTTTTTTTTATAGCTTTAAGACAAAATTTAGTTTAAATAAAATAATCTTTTAATAATCTATTCTAAAATATCAAATAAATAAAATAAATGATAAACCATATTAAATATTTATTTTAAAATTAGTATTGTCTTATAATATATGACGTATACATATTTTCCGATCATTTATAAGGTTTTATAACTATTGATAATTTGATATATATATAAATTAAACAATTATATTCACATTAACTTTTTAAATGCATGCAAATCAAACATTTAATATAAATAATCAGACACTGAATGAAAACTAAAAAAATTGTAAATAATTAATTAAATTTTAATTACATTTAATTATAATATTTTTTGTTTATTTACTGGTAGTTTATTATAATTAACATAGAGTTTTAATTAAAATAATTAATATTTAAATATCATAACAAAATATAAAACAACTAACCTTTTAGGAGGCAATTATGTATTTTTTTTAAAAAACTTTGCCAACAATTTAGTTCAAGTTTATTGCTTATTGTTTTGAAATAATATTTTATCTAAAATACTATTATTAGAAAAAAATTATATTCAATACTAAAAAATGTTAGTAATTTAATAATAAACTTTTGTATTATTTTTTTGTATAGTTTATTAAATACCTGGTAAAATATTTTATATCATTAGTAATTGTTATTTTTCAGACAAAACAAAACAAAACAAAATATATTAAATATATATAATATAATAAAATTTATATAAGCAATCAAAAAAAGAGTCAACAAAAAAATGGGTTAATTTTTCAAGAGTAGAGACAAACCTTAAAATATTTGTTATTATTATTATTATTATTAATTCAAAAATAACTACATTTATGTGCAACTCTTTTATATTATATATATAAAACAATTAATGAATTACTCATAAATTTAAGTTTATTGCTGCCATTATTATTATTATTATTATTATTGTTACTACTATTATTTGCTACTATTAAAATTTTATTATTTATTATTATTATGATTGCATAAAACTTAGATACAATTAAAATTGTGTATAATAAAAACTTATATCTTATTTTTCTAAATTAAAATAAAAAATAAAAAACAAATTGCTTTTTATAATCAAATCTATCAACAAAGCTATTCGATTTTTAATCATTATTTTCTGATTTTTTATGTTATGTTAAAAAAAATTTTAAGTGCTAAATTTTACACTTTAAAATGGGTTATTATTATTATTATTATTATTATTATTATTATACAGTATGTTTTCAGTGTTGTATAGTGTAATTATCGTTTTTTATCTTAAAATTTTAAATTAAATCATTAAAAAGATTATCTCCTAATATTGCTAAATTTATAAATTAAGTAATGATATTTTTATATTAATTGATGTAATATTTTAAATTAAATTAATTTTTTTTGTTAATATCATAACTTATACTATATATTTTATATTGTTTGTCATTTTATATTTAAATTTTTTTTAAAAATGAGTACAATATAAATAGTGTTGGCAAAAAAGAGAAATTTATAAAATAATAGAGAAATTTCTAGAAAGTTTCTAAAAGAAATTTCTATCTATGGGATCCCCATGGTTAATTTTGTTTTCTCTATATTTTTTATCTTGTAACATTGTTTTTAAAAGTAATAATTAATTATTATTATTAATATTTTAATTACTAATTAAAGTAAAAAATATATTTATTTAATCATATTAAACTATAATATAATAAAATGATCAAGAAAATTAAAAAAACTGATTATTATTAAATAATTATAATTATTTATATAGGAATCATAATTGTATAATAAAATATTACATTATATAGTATAATATTATATGTACAGTATTATGTATCATTAATATATTTATAATATTATAATAGCTAGAGATATGGGGATCCCATAGTATAACAATAAAGTTAAATTTCTATAGAAATTTATTCCTGAGAAACTTTCTAGAAACTTTCTCAGGGAAATTTATTAGAAACTTTCTATTTGCCCATCTCTAAATATAAAACATAATTAAAATGTCCGTAAATTAATGTTTATAATATATATATATATTTCTAAATGTACATAATATTAATTTCATTTAATAACATTAAAAATAGTAAATAGATTATATAATATATTACACATATATCATAAATTTCCTAATCAATTTAAATCTTATTTTTATTATCAATAAACATGATTTTTTGGGATAATTAATATATTTCATACTATTAATTTTAAATTTATAAAAAAACATATATACAGTTTATATAGTATATATACTTTATATATATAGGAAAACTAATGACTATTCACTAGTTGATTATACCGATAAAAATTATAATAAATTAATATAATAAACTATTTCTGAAAAAATAATATTGTATACGATATTTAAATGACCAAAATAATATTAATAGTGAATATGTCATGCATTTTCATATCAATTATACAAAAAACAATTTATTATTATTATTTTTTCAACTAAGATAATGTGTCGATAGATAAAAAAAATTTTAATGAGTATATTTAGTTCAATATTAATAAGAGTAAATATTTACTATATTTACTTAAACCTAAATGCATTACACAAACAAAAAAATCATTAGCAAAACTGTTTAAATGTTTCCATTTATTTATTTATTTATTTTTTGCAAAATTAGCAATTGTGTGGTTACAGTAATAATAATTAAATAAATTATTCAAAAGTAAGCGACATTTGGCAATAATAATTTGTTTTTGAATTTATTATTAATATTGAATTCAGTATTTTAAAAAAAAATTATTTTATTGATTAGAATTTTTTTTCTTTATTGAAAAATATTTTTCACATTTTAAAAATTATATTAATTGTTTGACACTTTATGTTAACGATTAGATAGATATCAGGAAACGGCATTACTTCAAACAAGTTTGTCAATAAATCTTTATTTTTTAAATTTTATTTTTAAAAAATATTATTTAACTTAATTAGCTAGTTAAAATTATTATTCAGTTATACATATACAAATATTCTATTTATTTCCTATTAAAAATATTTGTTAAATATTAATTTTTGTTATTGATTTTTGCAGTTATATTTAATTTTTAAAACAGATAAATCATATAAATTATTTTATTTTAATTTTATACTAAACAATTTTAATTTATATTATTTATATGTCAATCTGATATTTTGGTAAACCAAATAGCATATGCAATAAATAGTAGCCAATAATACAATTTATTTTTATTATTTAATATTAATATATTTAAATAGTAAAATTATATTTTTAGTTTTATAAAGTAATATGTTTTAGCAAGCAAGTTTGAAACATTACTTATATACAGTATATACTGTATGACATGTACATATACTATATTATATATAATTTATATTGTTATTTATTATAAAATATTTATTATTTAAATCAAGTATGATAATTACAGATTAGTTCTAAAATTAATCAATAAACTATTTTAAATATTTTCAATTTTAAATAAATCTCAAATAGTATTATATAATATTAATCAAACTAAAACAAATTTAGCTATTGATTCATTTATATATACTGTATATTGTATATACTGTATCTAAAGAGCACGGGGATGTGTCAAAGTGTACATCACCAAAGAGCTGATACTTAGACATACATAAGCAAAACGCATGTCTATTACAAACCTAAACCAATCCATGACTATTATATTGTAGAATATATATACACATAGAATATTCTGCACTAATATATATATACAGAATTTTGGCTCAATTTGGTTCACCATTTAAATTGTAACTGTTTTTGGTTTCAACTGTTTCTATATAACAATATATAACCGACAAATCATTTGATTGCTAAATGATAGCTAACTAATTGCCATCACATCATTCAACGTAAAACATTAACTTAAAAAATATTTACTATAAATAATAATATTATTTATTATTATTTATGTTGTGTTTATATTTGATGTGATATATTAGATATACATATGTCTTATCTTTTAATATAATGTTAGTGTAATTAAAAAGATTTACAAGAAATAAAAACAAAAATAATTGAAAACATTATATTTAGCACTATTTAAACTGTATTATATATTAACCAAAATTAACTTTTAATTTTGTCAACCATACAGTAATAATAATAATAATGGTATGTTTTTTGAATATAAATTAATTATTTTATTTTAGTATTAAATTTTCTTTATAATAACGTTTTAATAAATGATATATTTATAATATTTTATATTATATATTGAATATTACTATTATTAGTACGGTTTTGTTAATCACGCGTTAGAGTTGTTGGTCATCAGGAACTTTGGCGACAAAATATGGGAACAAATCAAGTATTGATTGATAATAATCATAATTATTATAAATAACGATTTAAATAATAACTAATTAATGATAAATTAATTATATATTTGAAAATTAATAGGAAAGAGGCTGAGGTAGAAATGGAGGGCTCATTCCTGGTTAGGCTTATATATGACGATGAGATTACCTATAATTTGGTCGAAGCCGCTGAACGTGTCTTAAGTATAATATAATATGATATATAGTATAATATAATACAATTGTTTTGTGTAAATTAAATATATATATATATTATTTATTTATTTATATACACAGTATTTATTATACAAAAATACATAATGTGAAAAATATTCAGAAAATAAATTTATTATTATTATTCACTTATTATTGTTTTGCAAAAATAAATGTCAGATAAAAACTACAAAATCAAACAAATTTTTTTTTTCTTTTAAAAAACTTGTCCAAAAAAAAGTTGCAGGCATTCAAAACAATAGGTATTCAATATTTAAAGTGCATATCTATTATAATGTCTCACGATTTTGGATATGGTTTTCAATTTTATTGCAATTTATTTCATTTACTAAACATAAAAAAATAATATTTATATGAAAGCATACATAATATACTTTAGATATTCATAAATAATAATAACAACAACAAAAAATATTGAGTAAAATTACTTCATATTATAATTTTTCGGTTATATATTAAAATTGATTTCACAATACAAAAGCTATTTATAAAACTAATAATAATATGAATAGGGATTTATATAGAAATATATATATATATATATTGTTTTGTAATATATTAGCATAATGTTAATCTAAATATATATATATATAACTAATTTGTTTTTTTTGTTTGTTTGTTAACTGCCTGTCCATTACATTATAACTTACAGAAATACCGGCCAATGAGATACTGGAGCTGTTTGGCGGTATGTTCTTTGACTTTTGCCAGGAATCGGGTTACGAGAGCATACTCCAGGTGCTGGGCGCCACTCCGCGCGATTTCCTTCAAAACTTGGACGCACTGCACGACCACTTGGCCACCATTTATCCGGGAATGCGGGCGCCGTCTTTCCGATGTACGGAAGATCCGGCCACTGGTCATCTTATATTACACTATTACTCGGAACGGGAAGGACTCGAACCCATTGTCATCGGTATAGTCAAGGCTAGTAGTTGTGTGTTTATAAACAATTAATTTAATACACATTTAGGTAGTTATGCCCAACTTTGATTCCGGTGGCCTGTTTTTGTAATGCATTATTTGTATTTGATTTGTTTGAATTTATTTATTTTTTTAAATATAATTTATTTATTATAAAAATAAAATGAAATGTATAATGTTATAGTAATAATAATAATAATAATAATAATAAATTTATTATTTATATTTTAGTATTATTTTTATGACTTTTTTTTATATAAAGTCAGTAAATTATCATTTGACAAAAATATAATTAAAAACAATTGCTTTATAAATAAAAATATTCAAAATTATCTTAAACCGATTAGATTTTATACATTTATTAGAAATTTGATTATAAACTTTATAATAATAATAATAATAATAAATGATATAATTTATTGTATACAAGTATACAGTATATGGTGAACACTATGAACACATAAAAATTGTATTAAAATTTAAAAGAAAATTAAGAAAAATAACATATTTATGTATAAATTTTAACAAAAAAAAACAAAGAAACTATACATTTGAGAATAAAACAAACCAAATATAATTTTGAAAAAATAATTTTATTATCATAAATAGTGTGTACACTTGAACTTCACATTATTATAATAAGCATTTTTCTATAATAATTAAGTGTTTATTTTCAGACACCATATAGTTTTATATATGACTTTATTATTATTATCATAATATATAAGTTTTTTTTAGAAAAAATAAAAACATAATTATTATAAAACATTTTATTTATATTTATTTTTTTGTTATTTAAAAAAAACTAATTTTAAATATATATAGATAAAGTACAGTACATAGAAAATTCACAGTCGCTATAGTAGTTTTATTAACCAGAGAAAAATTAATCTCCCGGTGCTTCAAACAAATTAATAGCAACAATAACAACTAGAGTTTATTACATGTATTATTTTAATATTGTTTTATTTATTTATTTATTTTTTTTTTGATTAAACATTTTATTATAATTATTATTTTTAAATAATTAAATGTTTATTTTAGGCGGTGGCCAACAAACTACACGGAACCGATGTGGACGTCACGGTAATTAAGACCAAAGATGACGGGTGCGACCATGTTCAGTTTCAGATTATACAAAAAGCTAAAACTGGTCAAACAGCCGACAAGACACCCGTCATCGATGGCCAGAAAGCTGTCGACTCGTTGCTGTCGGCAGAGAACCGGATCAGTCCGTTGACGTTCTGTAAGGCGTTTCCGTTTCATTTGGTTTTTGACAAAAATCTGGTCGTCAGACAGGTATTACTTTTAGTACAGTATTACTATTATTATTATTATTACTACTACTACTACTCATACATAGCTAAACACTATATATTTATTTAGATTTTTTTTTCTCTCTCTCTCTCTCTCTCTCTCTCTCTATAAGTACAATAATTATCGTCCAAATTTGACATAAATGTAATTTAATAATTTTTTAAAGTGTTTTTTAAATGAAAAAATAACTAATTTTGGTTAATAGTTAACATCTATAGAAATTATTTTTAGATAAAAAAAATTATTTTTAAAAAAATGTTTATTTAATCAAAAAAAAATCATTTTATTAAAAAATATTGATATCATATTTGCTGATTAAATATTACATCCAAAAATAAAAAATCAAAAACAAAAAAATTGTCACCCATTTTTCCAATAGTGAACTAAATATTTTTTGTCACTATCTATTCAACAACAACATCAATAATGAATTAAATTTAATAAAATAAAAATTAGATCAAAGTTTATATATATATATATTTATTTATTTTATTTTACGATTTTTTTCACTCTATGTTAGTTAAGTTTTGTTAGTTGACAGCACTTTGCACGCAATGTCACTCAATGCGTCTATAAATTTGTCAATATTTTTATTTTATTTATTTTTATTTATTTTTTTAAAAAATAAATATAGTAATCTCTTTAGAAAAATTAATTAATCAATATGTGTCTAACAAAATAATACTAAATAATAATAATCAAAAACAAAATATTTATATAAAAAAAAAATGAAACCTAATTTCAAATACTTAGACACAGCTAATTGAATATTCAATATATTAAATATTTATAAATATATTTAGATATTTAATTTGTTTAAAAATAAATTTTGATTGCGTTCCTCATTTTTAGCATATTTTGTTGTTATTATTTGTCATCCTATATACAGTATATCAAAACAAATTTTATTCAATATTTGCTGATTTAATTAAATATAAATTACAATCAGTGTTTTTTTATTTATTATAATAAAATGTTTTTTATTCAAACCCCTGAAATAAAAAAACAATAAAAATTGCCTAACATTTATGTCACGATAGCATTTTTCCGGATGTAATTTTTCAAATCATTTTATTATTTATAATTAAAACAACAACAATAATAAAATTTAGAAATATTAATAATAAAAAACTAATAATAATAATAAAATTTAAACTCTCTTTTAATATTATGATTAACAAAACAGTAACACAATTACAACAACAACAACAAAAATAATTGTAATATTTTAGTTAGAAAAAAGTTTTTTTTACGGAAAAAAGTATCAATTTTTTTAAATAGTAAATAACTTTGTTTTACGTAAATCATTAATAAAGATTATTTTTGTTCATTAAAAATATACATTTTTTGCAACAACAAAAAAATTTCTTACAATAATAATATACTGAAAAATGTGTTTTTATAATAAGCTTTAAGTGAAACAATAAATATATATATATATTTATATCATATAATATATATATTTTTTTAAAAAATAATTTAAAGTTCATTAGTTATTTTGAATAAGATTTCTTATTTTATTTTTTGGCTATTGTTTTGGATTAAAAATGAAAATTAGAATTAAAAAAATGTGTTTTTTTCAGAAAAATATCTTTATTTTTCTTCATTAATAATATTATTGTTATTAATATTAAAATTCATTTATAACATGATTTATATTAACTTAATACTAGAGCTAAGCTCTCGGTTTAAATTTATCAAAAAATAGATGGCTATCACAATATCTCCCTCTCCTTTGTGTTATTTAAATAATGTTATATATTATTATTATTTTTTTAGTTTATTTACTGTTTGTTTAGTTAGATATTATGTTTGCAAAAAAAAACTTTTGAAGTTTATTTTTTTCGGTGAAAACTCACGAAATATTTGCTTTAGTCATACAAGTGTTGGTAAAACAATATTTATATATATAAATAACAGACAAACTATAATAAAATGTAATCACAATCGTAATAATAATACAATTTAATAGTTGCTATTTTTAAAATATAGAAATTAAAACAAATTTTGTTTTGGTATTATAAGAGATTGAAAAACTGCATTTTATTTAAGTTATAAAAATAATTTTAAAATTTTTAATTTTAATGTTTTTATCATTATAATATATGTATTTGTTTTTTCAGATAATGATTAATAAATGCTAATTAAATGTTTGATTTTTAAAAACATTTATACATATATAATTTTTTAGAAATATACTAATATATAGTATTTTTTAATAAAAAGTAAATAACAAATACACATTAATTATTTTAATTGAAGGTATCGTTAAATATCTTGAATTTTAATTTACATAATCAACAAGAAATGTTAATCTTTAATCTCAATGTTTGCATTGATAATACATTGTAATCAAACACATGTAATATTATACTATAGTAAACATAATATAGTTTAAATAATTTGTTACATTAAAGATATTTAATATATAATGAAATAAAATTATCTATTTTCCTTATTTTTTATTAATTGTTCAAGTATTTAATTAGTTGATTAAATTGTAGATATATATTAATATATATATATGTATGTTTTTATCATAATATTTGATTATATCTTTAAACTAAAACATAATAATTATAAAATTATATGAAAATTAGCATTTCACGAAAGCAACATTAATATTTAATAATAATTTATAATATTAATTTTTGAAGGCTATTTCAATTAAAATATTATTTTACATTGATTTTAATATAAATAATAAGACTAATAATGCTATATTTTTTAATTATTTGTTAACTAAATAAATTTATGATTAATTGATTTAAATGTTTTGACATTTTATAGATATATGAAATATTAATTCAATGAACTTACAATCATTAACATTATAATAATAATTAATAATTACAATTATTAAAACTATTAAAACTATTACCAGTAAATAGTTCACTTAACTTTATAATAACAAACAAATAAAAACTATTACAACAAACAAACAAACAAAGAAAAAAAAACAATATTTTAATTTATTTATTCATTGATTTATTACAATAGGCAGGTATATCAGTGGCCCGTGTATTGCCGGCACTAACTCAGGCCAACTGTTTGGTCACCGATGTCCTGGAAATGATTCGGCCGCACATGGAGTTCACATTCAATAGCATACTGTCCCATATAAACACTGTATTCGTGTTGCGGACAAAATCGGTAAACGCATCGCTAGACAACAGTAACTACAATGAACTGTCTAAAGAGCACACCAGGTATGGCACCGGTAGATGACTAGACTGTGTGTAAATTAACTGATGAAACCATTTATTAAATACAGTAATCATATAATATTATAGTAAATATGAAAATAAATGATAAAACATGCGACAAAGAAAAATAATATAAATTAAAGGTTTAATAATTAAACTAATGTTTGTTTGTTTAAAAAAAAACTTAAAGTTAAAAAATTCAAAAAGTAATTCAGATATAATTAATTATTATTTAATGACATTTTAATTTTAAATTAATTTATTAATGAAGTTTGTTTTTATTTTGTTTTACATTCATATCTAAAAATATAATCTAAATTTGTTTAACAAATTTATATCTAATAAATGTTATTAAATTTCCTTAAATGGTCTACTAATTAGTATGAATCAAAATTTTCGTAAATAAAACTATTAATTAACTTTTAATAGATATCTATATAAAAGATAAATATTTGCATATTTAATGACTTTTTTTTCTTGAAAACACAAAAACTTTAATCTGATTTAAATTTAATATCAATTTATCTTATTTTGTATTTTTATGTCAATTAATAGGATGAGACTGAAGGGTCAGATGATATACGTGTCAGAGACGGATGTCGTACTTTTCCTGTGCTCTCCCAGTGTTCTCAATTTGGATGACCTTAACCGTCGAGGACTATACCTATCGGACATACCATTGCACGACGCGACCCGCGATCTGGTCCTACTGTCCGAACAGTTTGAGGCCGAATACAAATTGACCAAAAATTTGGAAATATTGACCGATAAATTGCAACACACCTATCGGGAACTGGAGGACGAAAAAAAGAAAACCGATAGGTGGGTGTCCAGACAGCACTATATATATATAAATATAGTAAAAAACAATTGTTTATGAAATTATCAATCAATTTACTAATCAATTATGTAAACATTTAGCCATCAGTTTTATAAATCTCTTTATTTTTTGGTAGACTATTGTTATGCAAACATTTAAAAAACTCAATGGTTTTTTTGTGCCGATATTAGGTTAAGATAATATGTAAACCATTTTTATATCATATATTTATATACCGTATATGAGTTGCTAATCCCCGTAAAGGCTATGATTTACACGTCCTATCTATCAGTTATTTGTGTTTGTATTATCTATTAACTCACAATTTATTATTTTTGCATTTTTATTATATATATATAATAATATTCTGTATACATATTATATTATGATAGTTAATAGTTTAAACGTATAAAATTATGATTATTACGATTATTATTTAAATTAAATACATGAATACCACTGATTGTAATCAATGGGTGTCTTTTAAATATAAAAAGTGATGTCTTGGAAAACTAGTTCACTAAAATACTATAGTTTTTTTAAAAAATTGTTGTTAACTTCACTACAATATATTTATATATATAAAAAAAGTTTTTTATTATCAGTGGAAAGCCATCATAAATAGGGTGGGGATCGGGATTCAGGTACTGTATGTACTGTATATTTATTGATGTATTGTTATGTATGTCTTATAGACTATCTGAATTGATTTGATGTGTTATTAAGTTTATTATTATTATTATTTGTTATTTTGCTAAAAAATATTTTTATTATGCTATCACATTTTAGAAGAAAATTATGTAAATAATAATAAAAATAAACATTAAATAAAATTGTATTATTGATAATTTTTTTTTAAATAATCGCATAACAATCAAACTTATAATCTATACATTAAAACAATAAAATTGTTGTCTAACATACAATACAATCATTATTTTTTAACTATAAATATTTCAATTGGTTTAACAAATTAGTTTTACTATACAATCATTTTGGATATCTTTTTTTTAAAAAAAATATTAATATACTTTATTTTTATTTTGTCATTTATCCAGATTATTGTACTCAGTTTTGCCGCCATCGGTGGCCAATGAGCTCCGGCATCAGCGCCCAGTGGCGGCCAAGAAGTGCGAGTGCGTTACACTACTGTTCAGCGGTATTGTCGGCTTTGGACAGTATTGTGCAAAAAACTCGGACTCCAAGGGAGCCATGAAAATAGTTAACTTATTGAACAGTTTGTACACCACTTTTGATGTGCTAACGGATCCCAAGAAAAATCCAAACGTCTATAAAGTATACGATAAATAATATACTAGTATTTAAATGTGTTTTTTACAACACATACACACACTTACATACATACATATACATACCAACACAACAACAACAAAAATAATCTAATGATTGTTTCATGGGATGGGAGACACCAATACCAGTACCACTACCCGCACCACCAAATGATAGATAGGGTCATTACCGGCACAGACAGACATCCCACAGACAGACATTAGGCTATAAAAACACAACAACAACAACACAACACCATTATCATCAACAACAACATCAGCAATAATAATACAATAATAATAATAATAAACCTAAAAAAAGTTTTATATTAAGTTAAAACACACACACAAGTCATCTAAAAAATAACATATATATTGATATTGTTTTTTCATGAATGATATAATTGCTTTAAAATGAGTTTAAAATCATTTAGCATTTTGTTGTATAGTAGTACTACACCTATCATAACGATTAACATTGAACTTTATATTGCATACAAAATAACATTAATATGTAATCTAATATAACATTATTATATGGCTTTTATTTAGCAAAAAAAAAGTCTAATATACAGTACATACCATAAAAAATCTAAGTTAAATATAAATTACAATATTTAGATAAATCTAAACATTTTATTTTAGTTTTAAAAAAATACTGACATTAACCTCACCCTTTACATAATAGGTTGAAACAATTGGCGATAAATATATGGCAGTGTCTGGCCTACCGGAGCCGTGTGAATGTCACGCACGATGTATAGCCCGTCTGGCGTTAGATATAATGGATTTGTCAAAGAAAGTCAAGACTGAAGATATGAACGAAATTGTAAATTAATTTATTTTAATTTTTGAAACGTTAATCAATAATACATTCATTGACTTATTTATAATGTCTATCATTTTTTAAAAAAATAAACAAATAGGAAATAACAATTGGCATTCACTCGGGCGAAGTGGTCACCGGTGTTATCGGCAAACGTATGCCCCGATACTGTCTGTTTGGTAATACAGTTAACGTAACCTCTCGTACGGAGACTACGGGCGAAAAGGGACGGATCAACGTGTCGGAGGACGCCTACAGTTGTTTGATGGAGAAGCAAAACTATGACCCGGAGTTTCACTTTGATTATAGAGGACCGGTTCAGATGAAGGGCAGACCCGAACCCATGAAAGTATTTTTTCTATCAAGAGTTCCCATCGAGAGTCGGGTTTAATAAATAATAATAATTTTAATTTTAATAATTATACTAATAATAATAATAATGTTTTTTTCATGAAAAAAATTTATTTATTTGATATGATATATATGTATATGTAATTAAAAATTCCAAAAAATAATAGTTATTTTTTGTTAATTTTTTTTTGCACAAATCACTTGTTTTCATGACTTAATTAACAAAATATGTTAAATAAAAAAATCATGTAATGTATTGTATACTAAATATAACTTAAATATACTGTATATATATATATAATATATATGAAATATCGTATGAAATATATCTTATGGTATATATCGTGCAATGTTATCACTCATTAGTTGTGCGTTTAGTGTCTATACAACAACAACAAAAAAGTTTTTAATAAATTATATAATTAAAATTTCAACACTTGTATTATATTATACTATAGGAAATGTGTGATAATTTTTTTGTAAAATACATTTTAGTTGTAGTAGTAGTTGTTGTTGTTTTTATGTATTTTTTTAGTTGTCAAAAATTATACATTCAATGACTGATACATTGAGAATATATACAATTAATTGGAGATCAATCATCAAAATATCCAATCATACAATCATCAATATTTTGTAAAAGAAAAAAAATTTTTTAAATTTGAATATTATTAATATTATTATTTTTCTTATTTAATAATAAATTACTTTTATTTTATTTTTTGAATGAATGAATGAATAGCGTATCGGATGTAACACTAGTTTTTTAAACCATAAATTTTTATGTATTGTAAATCAATGACACTTATTAAAGTATATATATATATATACTATATTTACATGTATACGCTATGTTGTTTAACAATTCAAATGATGTCAATTATATCTATTCAACAATAATCTATAATAATAATAATAATAATAATAATAATAATAGTAATAATAATGATCAGCACTTCCTATTATAAAATTGTTTTTCAAAAAAAAGGATTTATAAAAATATAATAAATATAGTATATATATAAATATATAAAATAACATAAATATATCTTACAATAACAGCTAAACAAGTTATTATTATAAACATCAATAGATATAAAAATATATTTTATATTATAGTAATTGTGTTTAAATTTTAAAAATACAGAATATTTGTAAACTTTAAAAAATAAAATAAAAAATGCAGTACTAATTTATAAATATATTATTAGAAACAAAATTTGTTGTTTTTCGTTTCAAACAAATTATTAATAGATTATTTATAAATATATATATTTTTAGTATTATAAATTTCTCAAATATTGGTTTTTATTTTATAACTAATGTGTAAATCATTGACTATAATGTGAGAGAAATTTTTGTTAATTGATTCAAATCGTTATAATTTAAGTCACACAAAAAACACATTCAAATAAAATATATAGTTTGTTTTTAATATATATATATATACAATATATACAATATATTAATAGTATAAATATACAATAAATATATAAATAATATATATTCATGACTGCATCAAAAATAATTATATTGAAATTAATTATAAATAGAAGAAATACATAAATATACAGTAAATATATTTTAAGCGGTATTTTCTCACAAATAATTATTTTTATAGCTATTCATAAATATGATAGTCATGTATTTTTTTAAAAAAATAATAATAATATTATTATTTTTAAACATATATTAATATCACATACAGTTTATATATAATGAGATTACCAGTTATGTTGTGTCTGAGTGTGTGTTGTGTTTAGCCTTCAAAAGTGGAAATCACGAAAAAATGTTATTATTTTCCAACAATTTTAAAAAATATTACTCATATTTAGGTTTTGCATTTGTTATATTTTTAAAGCCTCAAAATAATAATTTTTTTTAACTCTTTTTATAATACTGTATACACTATATTTATATATAATATATATATTTTAAAAACCACTGTGTATTACATTTTAAGATTTTTCGTTACAGCTGTACGTCTATAGCATATTATTTATGATAAATGATTTACAAATATTTTAATTTGCTATTAAATACATAATAATATTTAACATTTTCTCAGTTAAACCAAAAATATGTTTTCTAACCATACAATTTATATTTAGTATATACTGTATATATTTATATGGTTTGTCATGAAATAAGTTTTTTTCAATATAAATAAACCAAAAAAATAACTGCTTTTCAAGACATTGATAATCAGGTATAATAAGAGGTAAATAATATAATTATTTACATCACAACAAATTATGTTTAGATTAAATTAAATGATAATATTCATTTGACGATTTAAGTAAAAAAAATATTTAAAAAAAACAATTTTTAAGTTTTTGGAAATTTATTTAAATTATATACTTCTATTAATTTATTATATAGAAAAAATATTAAAGTTTTTATTATTATTATTAACAACAAAAACAAAAATTATATCACATTATATGATTTAAAAGTAAACACATTGAAAAAAATTATCTAATTTTAAAGCTATTATTTTTTGAATTTATTTTTACGTTATTTTTAATATCGTTAAATAATCTAAAAAATTGTATGATATTTGAATATTAACTATAAATTTACTTATTATTATTATTATTATAATATACATAAATATTATAAACTATTTATTAAACTATATAATTCTAAAAAATATTAAAGGGTTGAATAATTATATTATTATACAATATAACTCTAATTTTTTTTAACAAATTTATTATTATTATTTATTTTAATATTGTTTGACTATTATGAAAGACATACATTGAACTATTAACTTTGGGTATAATAAATTATGTGTTGAAATATTTTCATTAAAACTAAACAAATAATAGTTAATAAAATAGAAATAATATATGATTTTAATTATAATAGCAATAATAATAACGATATTTTTATCATTAATATTTTAATAATAGTATAATTAATAAAAAAGATATATTTAAGTGAAGGTCAACTTTTATTAATTATTATTAAAATAAATAAAAATAATATTATGAAAAATAAAAAGACTTAAAGTAGTATTTGTAATAAAATATTTAAATAATTATTTATATAATATTGAGACCATTAGATTGCATAAATTGCTAAATTTATATATAAATCTCAATTATCTATTGATATTCTATGTAAATCATTAAGAGATTTTATTATTATTTTTATTTCTATGTAATAATAAAATATAAAATATAAATTTATTTTAAATGATTCAGTTAATAAAAGTTACATTAATGCAAAATATAAATATTAAATTGAAGTTTAATTTTTTTAATATTGATTTTTTTTAAATATAAATACATAGAGAAAACTATTTATAAAATTAAATTTATAGATACAATTTGTATATTAATCTTTGCATATTAATAATATTAAGTATTATATTTGACAAAAACAAAAAGTAAAAATAAATTGTAAATAATTATATTTTAATCTTTTCTATTAATAAATTAGGTTACAATTAATATTAAAAATAAGTAAAATTAATTATTTTCATAAAATATTGTAAACTATTATATCATGAGAAATGAGTAGTTTTTATTGAATTTTGAATATATATATATATTTAATTAATTATAAATATATAGAAAAAAAATTAAACTAAATATTAAATGTTGTTTATAATACTATATAAATTGTTTATAAAAATAGTAGATTAATTTAATTTATTACAAACAGTACAATAAATTCATCGTTGTGTGCAATAATACGGTAATAATCTTATAGAGATTTTCAAATAAAAAATATTTATAAATTATTTATATGAGAATTTATTTTTTATTTTTTTACAAAAAAAGTACTATCATTGTACACAAATAAATTTTGTAGTATTTATATAATAAGATAAATATACGTCAACTAACAACAACAACAAAAAATCCATTAAAATAAAATATATTTTCGGTGTTAATAAAATAAATTAAAAAATATATTCAATGTATAGTATTATAAGGTATATACAGTATATTAAACACAATATAACATTAATTTTGCAATTACAAAATTATAGTTTTATATTTTATATTTTCATTGCCAATGTTAATAGTTTATATATAAATTGTTATTTTAAATATGACATAATATACATTTATAGCTAAATATAATATAATGTTATCAACAAATAAATTTGAAGTTCATGTAGTATTTATATATATAAAGTACAGTATGTTATACTAATATATGTTTAAATTTATATTTATAACACATTTAGAGTAATTTTGAAAATACTTTAAAACTCATAAAATTGATATTAAAACAATAAAAATTATTTTTTATTATTACACTAATAGCTATAAATTAGACATAAATAGAAGTCTAGATAGAAATAGTGGTATATTTATATAAAATTTATGTATTAACTGATAATAATAAATAATATATATATTATAATACATCTAATATTACAGGTTTACACCATTGAGAACACACACACATAACTATATATCTAAAACAATTTTGTCGGTCTAAATGATTAAATGGTTATTATAATCCAAATTAATAGCAAATACATGTTTTGGATAGTGATATCAAATTTAATCAACAAAGTTAATATAATTTTCTTTTTAAAAAAATATAATCTAAATGTGTTTTTAAAAAATATTATATGTGTATTATTGGTAGTACAGCTTTATTTAAATTATTTATATTATTATTATTATTATACGTTTATTTATAGTTAATTTATAAAATCAATGGCCTGACAGTTGTGTGCCCTTCAAAATAATATTTATTATATAGTTATATAATTATTACTATACACACATAAGAAACTAACTGATAAAATATGTGTAAAAACAAGATTTTTTTTAATGCCAGCTGTAATTACTGCACAATATATATATAACATGTTTAATCATTTACTTTTACGTGAGTTTTTGAAAAAATTGTTTGCAATTAATAGAGAATTATATACAAGTTATACAACACATAAATAAATATACAATATATATATATATATATATCTACACACAGTTTGTATGATATTATATATATATATCTATATAATGTAACATTAAATTTCCGATTAACAGTAAAAACGATACTCAAAAATTTAATGGTTGAACTAATTTTATGAGTTGTTTAGATGAGTTTTTATTAATTATTATAAATTTATATAAATAACAAAAAAAAGTATTACAAATATAGTAATGAGAGCAATGGTATTATCGGATTAAAATAAGTTCAAAGGTGTGGTGTAGGATATCTACTATAATATTAATGATTACTTATAAAAACATGTAAAATATCATATATTTATATATATATCTAAGTATATATATACTGTTTTATATAATGTATGTAACTTAAACATAAAAATATATTTATATATAACGTTAAGTAAAATGTATTTTATACTGTAATTTCAATTTTTTATATACAGTATATATTTTGTGTGTATTCTGAAAAATAACTACAAATACATAGAGATTTGTAAATTATATTATCTGAGAAATGAGAAAATAAATAAAATTAAGTTAATTAAAGTGGAAAATATTTGTGCATTTTTTTATTTGTTTGTTTGTTTTTTTTTTGAATGTCAAAACCCTACTAAATATAGCTATAATAAAATGTAAAAAATAATAATAATAAGTCTAATATATATTTATGTGATACAGTAGTATAAAAAAAATATTAAAGATTAAATAACATAGAAAAACATAAACAGCAACATGTAAAATGTCACACACAATAACAAAATAAAAATTTTAAATAAATTGTTATCACATGGAAACTACTAAAAATATTTATTTATTTTTTATTTGTTTATAACATTAATCAAGGTTAATTGTTGATAACTATACAGATATATTTAAATTAAATTAAATTATTTCTAAATTAATTTATTGGTCAATCCATATAAATATCTAATATAAATGTAATATATCTTTTATAAGCATATTTATTTAAATAATTAATTTAAAGTAAAAACAAATTATGTCAAATATTTAATTAATTTTTGTTTTTTATAAATTATTGAAAATCAATTAAATAATTATTATAATAACTAGCATTGTATTAAATATTGCAATAATATATTATAATTTAATATTAATACTGGTAAATATAAATTATAAAAATACTTTCAAAATATTATTATTTATAAAATATATTTTATTAAGATCTAATAGTAGTAGAAATAATAATAATATTTAGGTCAACATTTTAATTATATACAATATAATATGTGTGTTTGTGTTTATATAAGTTATATATAAATTATATATCAATTTTTAATATATGATAATATAGTATGAAATATAGTTAAGTAAATGATAACTGTGTTTATAAATATATTTTCCGATTCGTTATAATTTGTATTAAAAACAAATTTTTTAAAAATATTTTTCAAATACATATTTTTCAGATCTATTTTCTCAATGATTAATGAATTGCATATAAATAAAAATATAATTATAAAAAATATTTCAAATTTAATAGAATATATTAAATATCAGTTATTAATAAACGTTAATCTAATTTCTAATTTATTTAATTATCTTTTTATATCGTTTCAAAAAATTAGATTAATATAGTATTTGATATATTGTATTTTTTTAGCATTTGATATGTAAATGGTAAACCAATACTTAAAATAGCTTACATAGAAAAAATAATGAGAAAAATAAAAATATCAATAATTTAATTAAAATGTTTTAAGGCAACGATATAACTATTATTATAATTTAGATATCATTTTTAATAAATATAGTTTACACATTACATACTTATACAGTATACATACACACATAAATGACTATATTTATTAAACTGTATATAATATACATTAATGTTTGGTGAAACAAATTTGTTATTTTAATAGTAAACCTAAATGTAAACTATTTAATATTAWTAATATATATATTCACCAGCAAATAAAAAATAAAGTGTAGGCATTTAATAAAACATTTTTGAGTTGAAATAACTTAATAATAACAGTATACCAAATATATAAAAAATTTAATCATCTAATACATGTACAAATCTCATTTACAATTATAAAAAACCGCAAAATAAACTCTAAAATACTTGTATAGTAATCACATTTAAAATATATATCTATTTATGTTTAACCAGTAATATATAAATGTACATAAATTCCTATATAGTTTTTAGCAATTTTAATGATGTGCAAATAGAAATTTCTACTAAATTTCTCAAGAAAATTTTCTATAAATATTTTACTTTATTATTATACTATGGGATCCCCATATCTTTAGATACTATTATACTATTTAATATATTAATGAGACAATACATATATATATATATATATATATATATATATATATATATATATATATATATGGGATTTGTTTTAGTATAATTACAGTTTTGTAAAATTTTATTAATCATTTAATTATATTTTTAGTTTAATATAATAAAAAAAGATTAACTTTTTAYTTTAATTATTAATTAAAATACTAAAAATAATAATATTTAACTATTACTTGTAATCAAAATGTACTGTATTGTTACAAGATAACTATGATAATATCGATAGAGAACAAAATTAACATAGACAGAAATTTCTTTTAGAAACTTTCTAGAAATTACTCAATTATTTTAGAAATTTTTCTTTTTTGCCAACACTATTAGCAACACAAACATTTTATATATTATAATATATATCATTCATGATTAGTGTATTTCCCACTTTAAAAAAAGTTAAGTTTATGTTAAGTAGAGTTTTTTTGGTGAACTTATAAATTAACATTTAATTTAATTTCAAGTTTTATTTCATCGTTTCATTTAATTATTTCAAGTATTTCGTGACAATTTAAATGCTATTTTGCAAATTAACAGTCAATAATACAAATACTGTACAATCAATCGGTTCATATGATTTGTATYCAATTTTGGGACCATTTTCTTTAAGACCCATTTATTATTAATATTATTAATAATAATACTCAAAGAGGTTGTCACATCAAATCAAATATCAAACATTTTATAAGTTATATGCAAATAATTAATACAATTTTAAAAACATTTTTAACTATTAATAATATGCAAATAATTAAATCATTTATTTAAAAAAAAAATTATACTGTAAATTATTTTTTAAATATTAAAGTATAATAGTTTAAATCAAAATATTGAGCATTGACATAAAATAACTAATAGTTTGTTGTCAATTTAAATTAAATAAATTTTAATTTTATTTAAATAGTTGAAATTAACAACATCTGCCATAAGAAATAAATAGTTTTTACTATAAATATTAGACATTTGATAATATCAATAGATAAACCAAAAATAAAAATAAATATTTACTCAATTTTATAGCCCAAAAAAGAGATGGCAATGAATTTTTTTTATAATTTTCTGCTATCAATAAATTTAGTTTTGTTTGTGTCGATAAAACAAATTTATCGTTGATAAGTTTAATTAAAATTAACTGTTTTTTGCATCAGGCGATAAAGCATTTATATACAGTACCAATATATTGTRGGGACGGYATAATATATTTWATATAYATAWATWTATATACATATATATTAAATAGGATTCCCTTAAAATGTTGACTGATTTTGTTTTGTTAAGGGGTGCACTTGACACTAACTTAACATTTTATAATAATAATAATAATAATAATTATTATTATTATTATTAAAAACAATTTATATTTTTGTTGTTGACTTTTTTTTGTTAATGTTATTGTTGTTTATACACTTAAATATATATATATACAGTGTATATATATATATTTAATTTATATAATAATTAAAATTTTATCGTTGATTAAGCATTTTTCAACTTCACTTGACTTCATATATTAATATTATTTTTTAACAGTAAATTATAAATTGTGTGTTTATTTGTTAATGATTTGAGTGCCTGTAATTATTATTTTATTTGTTTTATTTTATGAATTAATAATATAATTTGATTTATTTTTTCTCTATACATACAAACACACACTTATATATATATACTTTTTATATACACGTATTTATATATACGCTATACTATTTTATATTAAATTTTATGTTGTTATTGTTTTTTTGATGTTATTTTTGTTTGTTTGTATCATTATCATTAAATTGTATAATAATAATAATAATAAATATAACCCTCAAGTAGCATATAATTAATAATAATGCAGTCTAATAATAAATATATATATATAACAAAGTGTTTATATGCTGTTTATAGTGTTTACCCGCTTATAAATAATCGCCAATATAAATATTTAAAAAAATATATTAAATATTGTTTTATTAATATTTTGTTATATTTTTTTTAWAAAAAACATATTATTAATATATTGTATTTATATTTATAGCAATTTACAGCAATTATGAGTGAACTGAAAACTGTAGGTATAGTAGGTTTTGGTCGTTTAGGTGAGTATTTTAAAAGATTGTTAACTTTATATATTATATATTAAATAGAGGTATTATATGATGGGATCGGGAGATAAAGTTAAAAAAATTGGGTTTTAAATATATTAATAACACTATTTTAGGGATTATTTTTTAGTCATTATGTAACTTAAATACTCATAAAAATGTATAATATTTTTTGAAAATAAGTTAAGACTTTGCAATAATAATAATAAAAAATATTTTTTATTTATTGTCTTCTTTAATGAAAATTAATGAATTCAAAACATTCAAAAGATACTAAAACTTATTATTATTATTGTTTATTATTATTATAATTATTATTATCGTTTATTTATTATTTAGTATTTTATTTTTTGAATTAATTTTAAATAAATTTCACACTGTTTTTTCCATAATAAAAAGGTCAATATCTGGTAAATGAGTTACTGACTAACGGTGCCAAATGGGGACTTAAATTAGGATTTGTATGGAACCGGACCGCCAGTCAGCAACTGTACGACAGTTGTGGTGATAGTAATCTAGTGTTGGAAGAGTTGTCACAATTTGATAGATATGCTGTCGATTTGATTGTCGAAGTGTCGCATCCAGTGGTGATCCAAGAGTTTGGCACCAAATTTGTTAATCATTGCGATCTTATGGTTAGATATCAAATATACTGTATAGCTATTAAATATTAAAAAATAATAYATTTAATATTACATTCATTAAAATAGATGATAATATTGTTATATATATATTATGGGAGAAAGAAAAAAACAAACAAATGATATGATAATTTAATTGATATGTTTTCTTATCTAATATTATTAATACTGTATATCTATTGGCATATCTCTTACTGATTTGCAATAATCTTTTAATCAGATCGGATCTCCTTCTTGTTTAGCGGACAAACATCTGGAGGAAAGCCTTTTGTTGGCATCCAATAAATCTAACCGCACTGTATTCATACCCAGCGGTGCTCTATGGGGTAATGGATAATAAATTGCTTATTAAATATATGGAAATAAACTTATATACAGAGTATAGTAGTAGTCTTCTTATATGGTTGTCATAAAAAATTTATTTTTTACGACTTTTTTCATATTTATTATAATAATACTAATAATAATAATATATAACAACTCAATTATATTTGGCCCAAAGAAAATGCTGTAAATACTAATTATATATATATTTTTTATATTAATATTTGATGGCTTTATAAAAATTTCATATATAAATACTGTATATATGTATATATATATATATATTTAAATGTATTTTTCTCAGGCGGTAATGATATACGAAAGATGTCCACCAGAAACACATTAAAAGTAATTATATATTTTATTAATTTTTGTTGTATATTCGTATAATACAATGTATAGTGTATACCATAATATGTATATATTATAAAATTTATTAATAAATAAATACATTATAAGTTTAGAAAATCATTAATATTAATGATTTTTGATGTTTTTTCTTTGAAAAATTTAATAATAATAATAATAATTTTTTAAAAGGGATTATCCATAACAATGCACTTTCATCCGGATAGCCTCAAACTGGATGGGGAGCTCAAGAGCCTAAACGATTCAATATTAGACAAACCGATTACACTTTATAAAGGTTTTTCTCGATAGTAATAGTAATAATAATATTATCAAATAATTTTTTTATCTAAACATTAGTAACTATAAGTTTTTTCTCCCTCAATATAATTATTTTTTGCTTTAAAGGCATTTTATTAGCCATTAAACGGCTTCATTAGGAAAACCTCTACATATCTACCTCTCACTAACAATTAATATACACATTAGAGTAAAATATATTTTTGTAGTTAAAATAATTTTATCGGCAAAAGGATTTTATTTTATTTTATATTTTTTTTGAAAAAAGAAATAGTCATAAAGTTTGCCGCAAATTATATTAGAAATTTAATAAATTTTATTTTACTATTTTCTTGTTGTTGTTGTTTCAGTTACTGTATGTATGTATTTCTGATATGGCATACCATACATTACTTACATTATAAATAAATATATATATATTTTTAGGACCAGTTAGACAGGTATGCAGTTTAGCGCCCAATAATGTCAATACTATGGCTGCAGCAGCTATTGCTGGCTATACGCTTGGATTTGACGGCACTGTCGGTTGCCTTATAGCTGACCCAAAGTAAGTGAATAAGTCGTATAAATAATAATAGTAATAATAATACTTATAATTGTTTGACAAATAAAAACCAATTTGTTTATCAAACACTTATACTCACATTTAGGCAAACAATATATATTAATATATACTGTACTGTGTTTTGATTATATTTTACAGTAGTATTATATAAGCATTTATGGCTATAGTTATAAAATAAGTAACAATATCTCAATATAATAGGAAATTCCTAGTTTTTATTTCAAATTCATATTAARTTAACTGRGAAATATTGTTATCATTTAAAATCTACTAAAATTTTAATAACTAATTATCATAATTACAGTATTTGTTTTTTAAATTTATTTAAAATATTATAATAATCAAGCAATTTATTTAAAAAACTTCAATATAAAATATTTTAATTAGATATAAATATTAGTATGAAAATAAAATAATTAGTTAAATTAGTCTTGTTTTATGACTTTCCTGTATTTTTGTGTCTAACATTTTTTCTATATATTCTCAACAATTTAGAAATATTAGTTTTAAACCTATTTTAGTGAGTTTCTGATTATAAGTGTTAGTTTATTTAGCTATACATTTAATACTATGATATAATAGTGTATATTATTAACACTAAAATATACAGTATTATTATTATTAAGATCTATATTTAAACTGTATTTCAGTACAATTAAGAAAATATTTACTTTTCTAAAAAAAATTATATATTTTTTATTTTTATATTTATTATCATTGAAATGTATTAACTGGTCATTTGAATCGATGCCAAACCATCAAACTTGAAATTTTCAAACAATCAAAACAACAACAATAATATAATAATAATAATAATCACAAAACTATTTGCTGTACACAAAAAAAATAGTTTAAAAGATTATCATAAAATTGAGATCGAAGTGACGGGACCTTCAAATGTGGCCAACAATTGCCGGTTCAGTGTTAGCACAACCCGATTAAGTCCATCAATGGGTAACAGTGCCGTCACATCAATGGCAACGTTTGCATCGTTTCTCAGCAGTCTATTAAGTATATACAGTATATTAATAGCATATTATAATTAATAGTTTATATTTATATATTAATATAAATTATAATATAATTTTTCAAATAATATAWTTATAATATTTGTTGTTATTATTATAATATATAAAATTATAACAATTATATCATGAGATTCTCAATGTTATTGACGACACGAAAATAATTTAACAAAATTTTGCTAACCGTTACTAATGCTATAATTGTTGTCATAAATGTAATGTTTTAATAATAATATAATAATAACAACATATTATTAGTAACAAATTAAAAATAATATATTATTTTATTAATAATAGTAATACTTGTATTATTATTATTATGTTGTCAAAATTATTTTTGTACTCTATTTTTTATTTTWAAAAAAATTGTTTTATATTATTTAACAAAATTTTACAAATTAGTTTTGCAAACCTTATTGAGACATACAATACAACAACAAAAATAGTTCATTATTGTTGTGGCAGAAAATTATAGCTTTTAAATCATATTAGTGTCTAATTTATTAATAAATACATACTCTAATGATAGTCTAATTGAATATTTGTTACAATTTGTTGTTGTTATTATTGTTATAAACAAAATGTTTAAAAAAAACAATTTTGTTATTTTTGTGATTACAGTATTATTTTTTGTTATATATATCACTCTAACTAAACTTTAAATCTACTGTATTTAAAAAAATACAAATTTGTTTGCGTTTTTTTAAAGTTTGAAAAAATGTAACTCAAATTTTTTTCATGAATTATTTAAGCATTTATTTTTATTTCAAATGTCATATAATACATAAACACACTTATAATATAGAGAATAATCATCAAAAAAAATATATATTATATATATAAACCAGTTAAGAATGCTAGAAAGCATTATCAGAAAAAAAACTTGACGGTATAAAATATTATGTTCGCAAATTAATTGTCATTTATAAAAAATAAACCACATTTATATAAAATTTTAATTTTATTTTAAACATCAAATATTAAATACAAAAGTATATTTAAAAAAGGATATAATAAATGTTATATATAGATTTATGATTTACAATACATCGTAAATATCTTGATTTGGTTCAACACATTTTGTGCAAACAAAATTGCTTTGTGTTGTGTTATTATCCTGCTGACAATTTTGATGAAATCTTTCACCACATTGTGTACAGCGAATCATATTATTATTAAATGTTTTCGAACACAAACAATGTAGAGTTGGTATTGTTATGTATTTGGATTTTGCTTCGGTATTTCGAGTAATTGGCAATGAAATTTGTCCAGATTCATACCATCTTTGTAATCTTTGACGCAAATTGAAACTATTTTCAGTTAGTCTTATTGAACTTGGATTAATACCAGAAATATTTAATGCCATATTCATTAAAGCATAAACACCACAATCATTAGAATTTGGCTGTTTTGTTACTCGCCAAAATTGATATTTTAATTGAGGTGTTATGTCGAGTTGTCTTATATGTGCACTTGCGACGCGTACAATTAATTCGCTAACAGTTAATGTGTTAACCGAATCATAAACATTACATGTAATTGTTGTTGATGATGTATATTGAACATTGATGTAAATCCAATGGTTACCAGTGTTAACAATATGGTGTAATTCTTGTCCAATATTAGTGAAATAATACTTAGGTTTTAAATATGGATAATTTTGTTGAAAACGATAAGAAGTTTGAAAATTAAGTAAGTTATTATTATTAGCTTAATTGTTAAAAATTACAGATATTCCATTTGTAATTAGAGAATCGTTTAGCCATCCATTGTTTTCTGATCCATCAAGTAATCGTAAATCACTTGTTATAAGATCTTCATGTAGATAATTATTGTATGTCTTTGAAAGCCAAATATTTGAAATTTGATGATCTTGTAATTGCGTGTACTTTTCTATATCTTCTTGTGATAACTTTTTAGCAGATACTTTTGAATCTTTCACTTTCAAATAATCTTGAATTGTTTCTTGAGATAGTTTTGTAATTGTAACTGAAGACTCTTTAATGTCATCTAAAAGAATTTCTGACATTGTTTCAGAAATTTTTCTTTGTTTTGCTAATGGCTTTATCAAATCATTTTCTTGTTTAGTTGATGAGTCACTTGATTGAGAACTTATGTCAGTTATAGATACGTCAATGCAAACATCAATCCAAAATGGTATATGATATCTACCATAAAAGTCATATTGATAAATTTTATCATTCCAATTATTTGTAAAAATATAATCAATTTGACTTCGATAATTAGTTGTAAAGACATTTTCTGGTATTAATGATCTCAAATTAAATGTTTTCATAGTTAAATTAAGTAATGTCTGTCCGTTTTTCGAACAGTAATCTATATTGAAATCGCCACATAGTATTATATGAACAAAATTAGATGTCTTATTTTCAATGTTGTTTAGTAAACTTTTAAGTGTATCAAATGGAAGACGAGATGATAAATAAAGTCCAACAACTGCAATATTATTAAATTTGACACAAGAGATTTCATAATGCCAATTAGATTTATCATTGCTATCAATTAATGAGCATATAGCTGATATGTTGTTAGAGTTTTTAGCATATATTGCAACGCCTCCAATTGCAATTGTAGAATTTTCAGAGTAAACATGACTTATTGCTGACATTTGTCCAATATTAGGTAATAAGTTGTATTGACATTTTGACCGTGTCTCCACTAAAATTAACAAATCAGATGCCAATATGTTGTCATCATATTGTAAATCTAAAATGTTTTTTCTGATTGACTGAACATTTAAATAAGTAATTGCATAATCTTTTCGTATTGAGCATTCTAAAGGTTTAATTATCATTTGAAGTCTTGCTTCTGATTGTAATCTTTGTATTTCATTGAAAATTTCCATATCACTTTGTCTTGGCTTTAGATTTTCAATTAATTTAAAATCTCCATCCAGGTATAATCCATTAATTGATGTAACTCGAGAACATGCTGTATAAATTAACTCTCGAGGTAAATGTTTTGTTAAATTAACAATAACTTGTTCAAATGTTGATCCTTGACTTTTATGTATTGTCATGGCTTCACAACACACAAGTGGAAATTGTAAACGTGTTACGTGAACATTAAGAAAGCCACCCATTTGGAAATCTTTTTTTATTGGTTCTAATGGTGTCCAATTGTTTGGAATAAAATTTTGTTTAATATATTCCATGTACTTTCGGCGAATTTCTAATCCAGAATTTTTAGGAAATTGTAACCATATTGTATTGATATTTGATGTATATTTGTCTTTATCAATTCTCATTAATGTCCCAAAAGCACCATTAAATAAACCATCTGAGACATCAACATTACATGTAATCATGTATTTTAATCCTATTTTGAAACTTATATTGTTCATTAAGCCATTTGTATCCTGATATGTCAATTTTTCAATTTTGTCAATAATTTTTTGTCTCTCATTTATATCCCGATATCCTCTTATGTCATCAATAGCTTTATTACAAAGTAATTCACCCACTTTATCTTCGATAGCTTTTGTATTATGCAATGCAACTTCATTATTAGTATAATATAGACAAACTGATTTATTTTTGAAAGAATCGTCCACATTAAATCGAGATTTAAGTAATTTAATGTCATTTTCAATTAATGCAGCTTTTGCAAGTCTATTCAAACAATCAACAAAATAAATGTCATTTTTTTGTCTCATCACTATTGATAATTCATATGATTTGAATTTTCTCCATAAATAAGGACCGATTATAGCGTTATATCCATCTTTTGATTCTTTAAATGGCCATCCACCACCAACTGGTTTTGCTTGATGAAGATCTCCAATTAATAGTATGGAAATTCCACCGAATGGCAAAGTATTTTGAAATATTTCTTTTAGTCTTTTGTCGATCCAGTTAAATATTTTATTACTGCAAAGACTTATTTCGTCTATAACTAATAGTTTTAAATCTTTTAATTTACAGCGCATTGTATTTGAAGTATCGGCAGACAATTTATTCAAATTTCCACCAGATATTTGCTGATGTGGAAAAGCTAATGCTGCATGTAATGTTATTCCATCAACATTCCATGCTGCTTTTCCCGTGTATGCAGTTATCAATATTTTGATTGAATCCAAATCTGTTCCTTGTATTGTGTTTATAAAGCGAATTATTGACTGATAAATGCATTTAAGCACATGACTTTTACCAACACCAGCAGATCCCATTAATATTATATTAAATGGCGTTTTGCCTGTTTTAAATCGATGTAGAATATCCATTGTAATGTTGCGTTGCTCAATATTTAATGATCTCATCATTTTTCTATACTCATCTTCATCTATTATTTTTGGAACAGTGATTTTATCAATATAAGATTTGGATGTGCTTTCTTTTGATTCGTCTGTTTCATCAAAAATATTAGCAATAGGTGATCTAATATTTAAAATTTCATGATCTTTTGAAATTTCATCATTAGAATTTTCATTTATATCGTTTGCATCGTTTTCTTTATCATTAGCATTAATGGCGTTGAATAATTCAGTTTCTAATAATTGTGGATCAAATAGTTTCAAATTTGCTTTAATTGTATCGATATTAGATTCATATAAATCTTTGCATTTGTCATCTTTAAGATCTTTTTCTTCATCAATCCAAGGAAAAAACAACATTACCATTGAACGATAATAATTATTCGAATCATTTTCTTTATTATATTTTTTGTAGCGAATGATTTTCATTTTTTGTCTTTTTTTCATAAATCCCATATTATTTTGAAGAATTATAATGTTTGGTAATGAAGTTTTTATATCGCTTTCATCGTTAGTTTCTTCATCGTCGAAGTAAAAGTCAATTTTATTTGATTCGAGTAATTTAGAAGATATTGATTTGCAATAATTATATGACGCAGCAAATTCAGCTAAACACAAATTATTAACTATATCAATTATCACTGGTCTCGCCATATAATGATCTAAAAGACCCTTAATTGATATATCTTTTGAGTCACCTGGCAGTTCTTCTA